CTAATTTCTTTTTAAAAAATGCGTTTCTAAAGTGCATAAACTTGTGAGATTGACTGCATAGCCAATACATCCTTAAATTAGTATTTGAAAAAATTTGGATGACTTCGTACTTGTACAGAAGGTAGAAAAGTTTGATAAGAAAAAGAGAAGATTGTCTGCATAGATTAATATTTATAAACCGATGTCCAGTTTGCGCGTCTTATTGTTAGTCGAATGACAATCGATATCGATCCGGATAAAAACGATTGAACAGAAGAATTTCTGATCGCTCTCAAGCGATCTGAGAACTAACTCTCCAGGACGAGGCCGAATCGTGAATTGTTAACGAAAAACGCACGACAAAATTAATTAACGACGCGATCAATTCTCGAATCGCGTGCAACGCGTCAGATATGTATCTACGCATCTATGCAGATGCGCTCGCGCGAAGAAAGCGATTTCGTTTTCGATGAATTCCATTGCTCGACCACAAACTAAATTGGCTAGAAACAGTTTCGCTTTCCATATTCCGCTGTTCCTGGTAATAAACGCATGCGAGTAAGTCACGCGCGAAGAATCCGCACTGCTGGAAGATCGGCCGTTCGAGCTACTTCAGGAAAATCGTTAATCGGTTAATGTACCCGCGGCATAATTAATAACGATAATTGCCCGTGAAATGGAAAGCGATAGCAGAAAATCTCGTGAAAAGCGCTTACCTAGCGTATAATTGATTGCGATTTAATCGCCGATTAGAAAAACTGAAGAAAAATACAATGTATCTTGCGCGTTGAAGGTTTTGCAATCAGGATCGTGAGGCACAACCAAATAATCAGATCACGTTTCGTTTAATCAAGATTATTTTCTATTTAATTCGTCGGCTTGTACATCAGCGTCGTAAGAGAGTAACATATTTTATGTAGTTATATCGATATTTACAATGAAATTGATCGAAAGATTCGTCGTCAGTTCGTCGCATTACTCGCGGTTTTCGGTTTACTGCTGTCCGAATCGCGTTGCCCGTCAGAACCAGACTCGACCTGTTCGTCCTTTTCTTTTGCCTGCTGCCAGCAACATTTCTTTAAATCCGATGCTGACTCTTTCGAACTGATCTCGCGGGAATGCACAGTCCGTTTCCAAGAAGGATCCGTCTCGTCACTCTCGTCATCGTCTCTTCTGTCTTGTAACTTCGTTCGATCCGATCCTTCAGTATTGGTCGACGAAGATTTCTTCGTATACATTCTTCTGAGCGGTTTCCATGGATAATTGTCTGTTCTGAACACTGACTTTGAGTCCGATTTCGATTTCTCATCGGCGGATATGACGCTTCCATCCAAGTTGAGGTACCTCATCTTCTTGCTCGCGAACTCGATGCTATATTTCGGCTGATCGGAAGGTCGCGGTTGTCCATAGGTGGATATCGGAACGCGGGAAGCAGAGAAATTCGGTTCGAATCGCGTGTGTAGAACCGCCTGCTCGGAAGCAGAGACGTTCGTCGGACCGTGATGGAATCGATGAAAATCCACGGAATCAATCGATGGTCGAAGAACAGGAACGGGAGCAAAATTGTGGTTTCTGCTCGGCTCGTTTACAGGTAAATAGAAAGAATCGTGGAAGCTGATATTCATTCGATTGGCCGCGTTTGGCGGTCGAGGACGAACGTCGTTCTTCGTCGGCACCATAAACGAATTCCACTTGCCATTCTCAGGCTGCTTTAGATGTAGCTTGTACTTGTACGTTCTCCAAGCTTTACCGTCCGGTCGTTCGAGCTTCGCATCCGAAGCGTTCGGCTTGAGAATTTGAACCGCGACGTTGCTGTCGGACGACGAACTGTCGTGCGGGATCGAAGGAAGCTCGTTGTGTTGATCGAACGAATGCGAAACGTCGGAGTCCGGGAGTATTTCGGCGTGCTCGATCAGTTCGCTGGGCTTGACGAAGATGTTCTCGTCGAGCGTCGATTCGACCTCGTCTGCCGGAAGATGCGATATCAATCGTACAACGAGATGATCCGGCTGTACTGGCTCCAACAGTCTCACGTACACTTTTTCGCCTATTCCTGGAAAATGGAACGGGCCGACCAAAGGACCGATGGATGTCGGTGCATCGACTATTCGTTTGAGCGTGTTCACGATCGTGTCTAAGATATTTTTGTTCTTCGTCACGCGATATATCGGCTCGATGCGAATCGCTCCTTCTCCGAATGCGTCCGCCGGACCTTGTATCGTTTCTATATTCTCGTTTTCGATTCGATTCACCCGATTCAATTCATGTATCGTTTTCGCTTTATCAGAATCGTAGCCGATGCGTTGAAGCTGCCTTCGACGTCTGTTCGCTTTCGATCGATACGAATTCGTTCGAAATCGCTTGTGTCTCTGTGCCGTGGAACGACTCGGACGAACTGTATGAAAAACTTTGCTAGATCCGACGTGCACGTTCGACCGTGCCGTCTGTTCACGGGTCGTCGTTTCCGGTCGCAGGGTGGTGAACGTGATCTCATCGGGATCGATTTCGTCCTCGGTTTTCGGCCGCCCCACTTGCTCCTTCGACTCTGGACGTCTACACATTTGCAAAATAAATCGCGCAAAGTAATTAGCTTCGTCCGTTTGTTCTTTAAATTGCTACTAATCGAGAGAAGACGTACCTCTTGGGACGCGCTGTTTCCGCGCCGATGACCGTCGATGTCAAAACAGCACAGACCTGCAACAGTTACGAAAACAAGTGAAGATCGTGTTATCTTGTTACAGATACGCGTATTTATCGCAACGACGAATTGATCGACTCACCGTGAGCACACGCGCGATCCTCATGTCGATCGAACCCAAGGTCCCACTAGATCGCTTCACCGATCCTGTCTATGCACGCGTATGAACGACTGCCCATCGACAACCTCTTTTAAAGGTCTCCTCCACCTATCGAACCACCGCCGCGATCACGGTTAAACTAGATTCGACGACATTGTTTTACGTACCGTACGCGCTCTTCTTGTGTTAACTGGATTTCCCTTGAGAGAAAAAGAAACGTTGCCGGTAGTAGAAGCTCGGAGCGTTCCGATCGTTCGCTCGATTCCTACACCTATCACTTGTTTAATTACGCGTGGCGATTTCATTCATCCGATCGCGACTTAATTTATATCTAGTCGTACTTACTTGCGCTTGATTGCAATTTTTCTTATTTTTCGATATAAACTTCGGCTGCGCGGCGATGATATGTCTGGCGCAGGGTAACGAGCAGACTGGATCGCGTTCGATGTCTTTCCCGTAACAACGAGCAAGGGTATCGACGCCTGTTCGACGAGCAATCACCTTTTGAAGATACCGGAGAAAACGAAAGATCTCGCAGGGACGTCGTTCGCAGAAGGACACCTACGCTTAAGTGACCAACTGATGGATAATTTTTCTTTTATACCTAAGCGCGGCACGAGTACATGTTCGCTGCTCATGAATAATCGCATCGCCGCTTCCACCACTAAAGGCCCGGAGATCTCAATGAAAGTGAATTTTTCTATGAGCCGCCTTAATTGGACGAGATGAAACGGACCCGTGCCAGTGAGTTCCACGATCTTTCTACTTGCCATAGCCGAACAGCTGATAGACGTCCAGCTTAAAGAGTAAAATGCGCGATGAACGAGCGCCGAGAGAACCGCGACCTGTTCTGTTCTCCGCCGTCGCGGATTAATTACAGCGAAACGAAAGTCGTGCGACCACGCGACGCGACGCGACAAGACGAGCCGAACCTGTCCCGCACGACGTCATCCATAACGAGCAACGGAAACGGATCAACGGATGAGGAAAAGGGAAAGGTAAAGAGTCTGCCGCGGAACAACCGATAAAAAGATCGGATTAAAACTGATTAAAAACTGCTGATCTATTTCTGCAAGGAATTCTCGTTTTCTTTCTCGTGCCTTGAAGCAAACGTAGACGAAAAATGTTGATCGGAACGCAATAGAACTTTTGGAGAGATCGGGCAATTATAGAACTTACTTACTTACGAATTGTTTTTATTGTCTATCTGCACGTTACAAGTTACATTACACGTGTACATGGGTATGACAAGATTTATTTGTGAAATGGGCTGCAACCTCGGTTGGACGAGTGGCGCTTCTCAGAATCGAATAGCGCTATAGCGTTGAAAATCGAGAATAACCGGTGACGACTTGTACGTATAATAAATTCTGCGCGTATTCCGCGGTAATTCGATTAAACTTTTCTAATTCTAATTATAATTGAAACGACGTTTTCCGTCGAAACGAAAACCGTAAGCTGCGCTGTTCGGTGCGCCGACCAGGGCTGGGTTCTTGTACTGATGAAAGGAACCGTGAAGATGCGGAGGCCTCACCGCGTTCTGTTCCTCCTCCTGAGAGCCCTTCAAGTAAAACGCCTCGAATCGTCCTTCCGGTAACAAAATGTCCTTCAACGATTTATCATTCGGGTCATAGGCGATAGTATTGGCGACCAACGAAATCAGAAGCCACTGAAATAATCAAGGCTGTCGTTAACGTCGAACGATCAATGAAAATAAATACGATGGTTTAACGTGTGGTGGAAATCTCAAATCGACGACTATGTACCCGTCCGTGTAAATGTACTTGTCCGACGAGGTTGATTCGTTCCGTCACTATAAGGCTTTTCCTTTCAATGACGACGTTTCCAGTTTTTTACTTGTCGGAAAACGCTTTAAACACCTACCTGAGCTAACATGGTGCGCGCCTTCTGCGGCTTACGAGCGATTCCCGATCTATGTTTATGCATCGAAAGAATCGAATCCGTATGTCGCACATCTGAAAGAGATTCGGAGCTGTGTTTTAACGTGGAACGTGCCATCGAGAAGGCAGAAGTGTGTTTGGCCACACTTCTTTCTCGATCCAAATCTCGGTTCCCCTCTCTGTCGCGCGGTTCAATCTCTTCAATGAAACGCTGAAAGAGATAAAACTTCCAGCCAGTTTTCGCAGAGTTTTTTCAAATCTAACGATAAGTATACGATGTTAGTAGAGTTCGTCAACCTGATTCTTAACAAACTTGTTACACGTAAAACCGCTTCGATCGAATTCTATATGGACACGAGCGAGGACGGATCGACTTAATTAAATGTGATAAACGCCGACCAGCTACCGAACTGAACGTAACTGTAACTAATTATCTATATAATTCTACTTTCACCGAGTACTCGTTAACGATCGAAACCGCTTCTGTGATACATACATACGTAGTACACAAAAGTCCGGGCTAACGAGAAGTCGCGATATTATTGCGTGCAATCACGTCGTGTCTCTATACGCGATTCGTAAAAAGGTCATTATTAAAATAAAGCTAAAAGACTCTTTTCTCGATTGGAACTTACCGAAGATTGGATCGTAGCAAAAGTGAAAGCCGCTCGATCGCACACAACACTATAGTAGATGCGAGTGTAAGTATTTACCGTGCTTTACTCGCGTTGCCGCGGTGAAACGTTTCCTTTACCTGCACACGTTTAACGACCTTGCCACTACCAAGCGCCCCCACGCTCGGCGCGTAAAATCAACACTGACGTCGGAACCCGCGAGGACGGAACTCGGGAGCGAGTTGGGACCAGTGCAAAAGTAACGCCCGGTAGATATGGGATATGAGAAACTGTACAATTTATTTATACATAGAAAAACATCAGGTATCGTCATTGTACGCTCGCGTACGAAAACGGGGAATAAAATGAAAGCTGTCGGTATGTCAGGTCTGAAGAGACCAAGTAATGAGTGTATACGTGCGTAAGGTTCTCCTATAAGGGTCGTTGCTGCCGCGAATCATCGGGTAACGATGACGATAGAGATTATTGTCTCGTCGGAACTTATCGTTGCGTCGTCAATCGAGAAGAAAAACTGAGAGACTTAGGTTTTCGAATCACAACGGATAAAGCAAGCACGTGGTAAACGCGATACGTTACTATCACAATGTGCGATATACATGTACATACATATACGCTTGTTGAAAACGGTGCGAAACATCGACCTCGTCGCATCGTATAATACTGGCGCATACTCTACTTTTACGATATAAATTACGCTAGCACGATAAACATTGTCCAGTATTACGAGTAAATAGATCGGTGGAAAAGAGAAATGATCGCTGTACGATGATTTCAAATGATTGAACACAAAAGTGCTTGGAAAAGAATCGCTTTGTTCCACGTCTGCAAGTTAAAAAATCTCCCCCTTTTGGTTCCCTTACTTTCCAACCTTTTAAGTACCCCTTAAAAATGATCGCGATGAAACGAAAACGCGTTAGATAACCGTATAAAAGTACAAATGTTCGATAGATTTGTACGTGAATTCACGATACGCGATAGTTGTCACCTATTTACAAGTATGAAATATGTATGTATCCCTGGGATAGAGCCGCTCGTTGTAACAACGCGTTAAACGGAATATAAATAAGATTCTTGTTTCGTCTTCCCCTTCGGAGGCGAAGTAAACGGCGAGAACCAGGCGATAGAAAATCTTCCGAAGACGGCTTGGATGGATTTCCATCTACTGTTACGGACCCACCTGGCTTCCTCTTTCTTCAATTGTTCAATGCCCTGTCGAAAATCGATCCGTGTAAATAAATGAACGCAGCGCGAATCTTTCGGCTATTCTTCCATATACATACGGTTTCGTCGTTCCATATTGCTTGTAGCTGCGTTCCCAACATCACGGCCGTAAATATAGCGAACAAAAGAGCCTCGAAAGCCAAAAAAAGCAACAGCACGACCGTCGCCGGCGGACTAAACGTAGAACACTCTTTCCACTCTTGCCTCACGCACGTTGCAAATTGTTGTATACATAAAAATAATGATTGCAACGACATTGCTGCTATGTAGAACTGAAATATGAACCGATGTAAATGGATTTACTCGCGCGTTCAGTTTCAACGCACTTTTGACGTTGATACTCACGGTAAAAAGTACAAAATACTTCTGATTGTTCTCCCCGACGCAATTATTCACCCAAGGGCAATGGTGGTCCATTTTCCTGATGCATCTGCAATCGAGAACCTCTCGGTCATTCCCCCTCGTATGTACCATCGTGCGCCGTACAACTCACGCAATTACCTTTGGCATACCGAACAATGATGTGCCCTATCTGGTTTGATCGAGCAACACTTCGGGCACTTAAAAATTACTTGCCCGTCCCTAAATCCCATTTGTTCTATCATCTCTTTGGTAGCGTTTCCTTTCGGAACAGCACCCTGTAAGACGAACTTCGTTGGACAGCTGACATACGGCATTAAGCGGAACGCGTGCATCTACTTCAAAACGTAATTTCTACTTACCGGATCTGTGAACATCGTTCTTAAATGCGACGCAAAAGCTAGAAAAGTTAAAGATTGAAATATCGCGGTGTTTAAACTGGAGTAGAGAGTGTTTATCGTAGGAATGAGAATGACCGCCATCACCACGAATTCTGCGTAAATTATTAACAACCACGTTAAGACTGCACATATGATTCCGCATATGTCCTGCAATGATAAAACAATTTCTATTACATGGTTTCGAAGCGTTGATCACCACCAAAATCATCGAAACTGTTAACCGGAACGTTTAAACCTACTTTTATACACCACAATCTCCCATCGTAACATTTATTGTGGACGTCTTTTTCTCTATGAAAAAACGTGTAGTCATAACCCATGATTTACGTTGGTGCCTATTGATTCCCCGACTATTAATCGCACGAAAATACGCCAATAATGTTTGTCATCATAACCATAGTTCGCTCGAAACGAAAGCGGATCGAGGTTATGTGAAAATTAAATGACGTTTCGTACCCTGTGTTACGAAGCGATTATCACAAAGATGTAGAGCCTGGGGCCTAAGTACGTATGTACACGCAACTAAATCGAAAAGTTCTGAGTTCTGCTAAAATGTGGAATAACACGATTTGTAATCCTTTCGACAAGTACTCACGATTCCCTCTCATAGATAAACTGATCAACGATGACCGTACCAAGAGCATTGACTTTTATTTCTATTCTTCACATTTTTCTATTCAACCGAATACGTTCCTACTGACGAATACCAAGTAACGAAGTTCATTTCTCCCGGAATTGATTAGTCCGAACGAGTACGACACATCCATTAATACAAATTCATGTTATCGTTATCAATAAATTTGAAGCTCCCTCTAAACCACTGAACATCTAATACAATAGCTGTCACAGGCCGCGATAGATAGCCGGCATGAAACTGATCAAATGATGTAAGGAGACAAGGTGTGTTCTTTAGGCAGACGCGTTTTTGTCTGAATATGTTATAAAACTGAACGCGTTATCTAGACTTTAGTATTTCGCTGAAGAATTGCACTTCGAAAACAGGGATTAGTCA